ATTGCTACTGGGAAATATTGTTAAAATTTTTAGTTGCATATCATATTGTGTGGTATGTCATTTAAAACAACTTTATCTTTTTTTTTTTTTTTTTTTTTTGCGGAACCGGGGATTGAACTCAGTCTCTTGCGCTTGCCAGGGAAGTGCTTATTCTACTAAGCCATCTCCCTGGCCCCAACTTTAACTTTTAGACTTTAAAAATATATCAGAAAACAAAGGCTGGGTGTGGTGCTGCACACCTGTAAGCCAATGCTCTAGGAGGCTGAGACAAAATAATCAAAAGTTTGAACCCAGCCTGGAGAGGCTAGAAATATACTTAAGTATTAAACCCCAATACTTGGGCTGGGGAGATGGCTCAATGGAATAAGTGCTTCCCTGGCAAGCACAAGGGCCTGAGTTCAATCCCCGGTTCCACCAAAAATAAATGAAAAATATAAAAAAATAAACCTCAATACTGAAAAATAAAAGGGCTATCTAATAATCTATTTTATGGAACTGCCTGGAGAGAGAGAATGTCTGGCTAGATGAGATATCAGGCAGGTAGACTTGGATTGCTTTGTGATGGTGCCGTACCCTATGCTCTGATGAAATTAGACTCAGCAATAAATTTATGCTTCATCTTGATTGTACTTCTGAGAAGACAGGGTCTGGCCACGTATTCCAGGCTAGCCTTGAGCTCACTGTGGAGTCCAGGCTGACCTCTGACTTGGAAAAATCTGCTTCCCTCAGCCTCTTGAATACCAGGATTAAAGGTATGCCCTGCAGTAGCTCCTCTTATTTATTCTTTCTTTTAGTAAATTTGTGAGGTTCTGCCACTTGCTAGATGCTGGTGTACGCACTTAGTGAAGAAGTCAACAAAGTAGGATACCTGCCCGTGTGAAGCATGCTATTGTGCAAGAAAAGAGACAGGAGATGAATGGTAACAGATGAGTAACATAATGAGGCAGGAAAAACTCAAGTCATGATGGGCATGAGGGAATTACTCTGTGTGGAGTGGTCAGAGCACGCCCCCCTGAAGAGATGGTGTTGCGCAGAGACCTGGAAGACCCAAGTGTGAGGGAAGAGCCCTCCAGGCAGAAGACAGCGAGTAAGCAGCAGAGGCGATGTCAGAGCCGTGCTGGTGCTCAGGCATTCAGTCTTGGAGGCCACTTTAGGGACCTTCGGCTTTGACTTTTGTCTAGATGGGCATACTTTCAAACAAAGCAATAAAATGACCTCATTTGCCTTTTTTTTTTTTTTTTTTTTTTTTTTTTTAATGTCAGACAGGTAATGTGGTGCCCACATCATAATAAGGTTTGAGGGAGGCACATCTCATGCGTAAGGCATGAACACCCATGATCGCGCTCAGGAACCAAAGGCTCCTCGTTTACCTTTTAAAGATATTATGCTATCTGGCAGCTACGTTTATTCATTTAAACACATTTTCTTTAAATGTAGTGGGTATTTTAATAAGTTCTGGAGGTGCAAAACACAAAAATACCTGCCTTCATGAAACTGCTATTTCCTAAGAAAGGCAAAAGTTAAGAGAACGAATGTTGTGTTACGGCACTAGTCTAAGCAAAAGGTGGTAGTGGCTAAGTCCCAGATGGTAGTGGGAGAAATACTGAGAAATGTTCACTTTACTTTTGGGGAGACTTTGAAGCTAAAACAGACAGGATTGGCTAAAGAATTGCAAGTGAGACGAGAAGTCAAGGCTGAAGGCATCTTCATGTTGAGTTAGTGCGTAGGATCATGCTGTTTGGCCTGGGAGTTTTATGTTGCTTTCAGCTGTCACCTTTTCCAGATTAGGATGTCTTGATGGAGGGCATCGGGGGACCGATCACGCATTGCCGCTGTCCGCCAATTTCCACTGTGGACAGTATCGCTTCCGCTCGGCCTCCCCCACGGGGAGCCGAATGAGTGCACAGATGAGTGCCTCGTCTGCTAGATGCACTCTTTGGTGTGACCCAGTTGTTAGAGTGCCAGCCTAGGGTCAGAGAGCCTCCAGCTCCAAGCAGATATAGCTGTGTAGTAAGAGGCCACTTCACCTCTCCATCCCTGGGTTTTCTCATCTGAGAAATGGCAGGGCGGCAGTAGGCACGCTCTTTGTACTCACTGTAAGTGGAATGTGTGCCTGTGACTGAAATACAAAGGGCCACGCGAAAACAAGGCCATGCTGTCATTGCTTCTGTTTTACTTCTCTGCGATATTGCAGAATACTAAGCAGGGAACATAGAATTCGTATGATCCTAAACCCAGATGGAACTATGAAAATAGTCATTTCAGTTTTGTTGATACCCAAATTGTATGCTTTGGGAAAGTGATCATTTATAAAGAATCCCAGGGGTCGGAGATATAGCTCAGCAGCACAGTGCTTGTCTGGCAAGCCCAAAGTCCTGGGTTCGATTCTCAGTACCTAAAAAAAATTCTCAACAAGAATCAATGGGTGAAAGCCATGCTGTTATGCTGAGCTGTAGGGGACTCAGGTCAACAATTTCTGACACTGCCAGTCAAGCGGAAGACCCAATACTATTATGGGCTACTGGACTCTTTTAGAATATTTTGCTGAGTTTACACACCTATAATATTCATATAATGGAACTTAACACAAAAAGGGGATGCAGATGAATGTCCATTTTGTATCTGTGTATTCAAATAGCTAGGATCAATATACAGTTACATTCTCTTAATGAATAGAGGGATTTGTTCTAGTGGTGTATGTAAATAGGATATCATGTCTGCATCTTGTACAGCAATTAACCACTAGGAAGAATGTATGCAGTGTGTTAACTATTGAAACTGTCCTACCAGTTTGGTTTGAAACTGTCTCATTGCTATTTGTTTCTCAATAAATTTATGGAAAAAATTTTTTAAAAAAAGAAACTTAAAAAAAAAAAAAAGAGTCAATGGGTGATAGATTTTCAAAAGAATAGAATTGAAAGCTTAATGGGGCCCGGGAGATGGCACAGTAGAATAAGCGCTTCCTTGGCAAGCACAAGGGCCTGAGTTCAGTCCCCGGTTCCACCAAAAAACAACAACAACAACAAAAAAAAAAAAATCAAAGAAAGCTTATTTTACCTTCTTCCTTTTTGTCCAGGGCACATGGAGTCTAATGTACTTAAGTTTGACCACTATTGGGCTGGCAATATAGCTCAGTGCGCTAAGCACCTGCTTAGGCAAGGGCAGGGACTGGAGTTCGAGCCCTGCTATCACATGCCACTCTGGCCCCGCCTCCAGGGGTATGCTGAGCTGGCCACTGAGACTGGGCGTGGTGGTGCATGCCTGTAATCCCAGCCCTGGGAAGGCTGAAAACAGGATCACTGCAAGTCTGAGCTGTGTAGTAAGACCCTGTACCATGTACCAAATACATTAAAAAAAAAAAAGTTTGACCACTATTTATTGAAAGTATATTGTATGCCAGGCACTGTACTTGGCGCTAGGCCTTCACAGGTCTCTAAGGTTAACACTGCTATTAGGCAGTTACTTTTCACATTGTCTTTCCTCTCACCTTTTTTGCACATTAAGAGTCTGCAATGTGTTTTTACATATGGAATAATGCAGGCTTAGGGGACCCAGGTAATATAGTTTTAAGGACATTAATGTGATGCACCCCTATACTCATTTGATAAGTCCAGAGGCTCTAGTTACCACCAAAAACATCTTGTCTACTTTTATCTTCTCTGGTTTCAATACATTAGGTAGAGAAGAAAAACAGGGAGACTTCAGGCCTATGTTGTTAAATTTTGCTAGCTGAGAAACAGGCGATAAATCTATCATTTTTCCCCTTATATTCGGTAACTAATTTGCTCCTATTTTAAGCAGCTTTCCTTATTAGGAAGATTCTTAAATTTACATTCAGAAATGCGACTTCTCATTGGATTTATGTAAGGTATTTTCAGGATCAAGTGGATGTGATATTTTATCATTAAACTGCTCCTCCTTTTGATCTGTAGTGAATAATTCATTTTGATAGGCATTATGTGTTCTCAGTATCTGACTTAAACTACAGTTAACATTAAAGTTGTTTTTTAATAGAGTGGATATTAGTCCTAATTTGTTCAAAGCAAGATAGAATTCTTAATTTGGTAATTGGAATCCAACTTGAATGGGTACTTTGTAGAAAGATCATTCCCTACACCAGGAAAGGTAGTTTCTCTCTCTCTCTCTCTCTCTCTCTCTCTCTCTCTCTCTCTCTCTCTCTCTCTCTCTCTGCATTGTATTAATGCTAGCATGACATCTTCCTTTCTTACCTTCCAAAAGGGAGATACTGATTAGGAAGTGAATTCAGGCTATTCTTTCATAATCAAACTTCATATCTGCTATCCTGACGTGTCAGAGTTTATCTTTCTTGTCATGTGGAACCTTGAAATGCACCACACAGACTAAGGCAAAAAAATTAGTGGAACTTTCTGCTTGTTGCAAGAGACATTCAGATGGCTACAACTTGGGTGGGGAAAGAGATAAACTTACCAAAGAATGTTTTCACAGCTGAATGGTACTTAGAGCTATTTTTCAAATAACAAGTGGAAGATTTATTTCTTAAGTTGTGATTTCAGTGTAGTACTTACTGTGCGATGGTGGTGTGGTGTAATAGGCCTTTTCTGGAAATAGTTTTATTTGTTTCTTTAGTTGCTTTCTCTTAAATTTATACTAACTGAATTTTTTTTTCTCTTTTGTTCCAAGTAATGGGAAAAATATCTCAACATGCTACTATTTTAGTTATGAAATTTTCTCTATCCCTATATGCAGTGACAGGCATACAAAAAATATTTCTGGAAAGTTTTCTAAGTTACATGATTTAAAATGTACTTGTAATGTAAGCCCATAGGATATCCTACCCAGTAAAATACATGGACAAACAAGTTTAAACTTCATTTTTGTTGTTGTTGTTATTGTTTTTGTTTTGTCATCTTTGTGTGTGTGTGTGTGTGTGTGTGTGTGTGTGTGTGTGTCTGTGTGAGATACAGGATCTCACTATGCAGCTCGGACTTGTAGTGATCCTCCTGTTTCAGCCTCCCCAGTGCGGGGTCTTGGTGGCCTGCTCAGTGTGTCTAGGGCAGGACCAGAACAGCATGTGGTATGGGGGATCAAACCCGTGTCTTTGCTCTTGCCTAGGCAGGTGCTTAGACTGCTGAACTATCTCCATGGCCCTTAAACTCCTTTTGATGCCTCTCATTCTTAGTAAAATAACGGTGATTGTATTGGGCAAAAAAATGTTGAGACTTTATTTTACAAGGACCACTTAGTAAAGCATTAAAAATAATTTATCCCAGAAATTTATAAAGCATAAAGATAAACAAAAATGACAACTTCGCCTCATGAATTGTATTTATCAGAGTGTCTTAAGTATTCCTTAAATTTTTGCAAGTACAGTAACCAGTGATGCATGTTCATAATAGTAAAGGAGAAATACAGAAAGGGGAAAAAATTAAAATCAACATTCATCACATCACCCAGCATTAACTATTCTAAAATATTTTAATGTATGTGTGTGTGATACATTCCCAGCCCTAAACTTATATTTTAATAATAATTTTCAACCATAGGAGTACAGTCTCCCCCATGTTTTGAGCATTCTCATTCATTTATTCATTCATTCATTTATTCATCGCTCACTTTCTCTCCCCCCTCCACTCTTCTTTCTAAAAATGTACGTCTAACCATGGTACATATTGAGATTTTTCAAAATTTTCCCAAGAGCGTCCTTCCAAGCAGTTTTGTCTTCCAGGATCCAGTCCAGCATTATGCATTTCCTTTATTTGTCATGTCTGTGCTTTATTTTAATCTGAAACGGTTCCATAATCTTTCTCTTTTATGACATTGGACTTTCTAAAGAGTGTCACCAACTGTTTTGTATATGCAAATGTTTAACAAGTTGAAATTATATTAGAGTTTTATTTCCTTTTTCCCCCATTAATTTTAAAATTTTGGCATTTCCAATGTCTTTAATTATTCTTTCAATTATTTTGCATGGCTATTTAATATCATTTATTTTCATTAGTCTTCTATTGTTTGAATTTTTTACTGTTTCTGTTTTTGTCAATATTACAAATACAGTTGGGGAAAACATCTTTGTAAATAAATCATTGTAATTTTTAATTTCTGAGTTCATTTTTCAAGTACTTAAGTGCTTAAAACATGGAGTACCAAAACACAAATCCTACAGAAAAGGATAATTAAATGTTAATCTCTATGTTTCTGAATATAATTAGAATGAAAATCTGGGAAAGGGGGAAATTACAGATAATACAGTTGCTAGATTTAGCAAATAAATATATCAAATGGCCATTTAAATGTATTTTTTAAAATGTATTTTGTACAGAGTCTCACTGCACAGCTCAGACTCGTAATGATCCTCCTGTTTTCAGCCTCCCCAGGGCT